TTTTTTTTTTTTTTTTTTTTTTTTTTTGAAGCTCATTTACTTTAAAAAACTGAAAGTTCAACCAGCCTGGTCTATCTACAGATCGAGTTCCAGGACAGGTTTCAAACTACAGAGAAACCCTATCTTGAAAAAAAAAAAAAAAAACCTGAAAGCTCACATTTATCAATTGTTTTGATCAATCAGATCATTTTTTAAGATTTTATTTATTTATTTATCTATTTATTTATTATGTATACAACATTCTGCTTCCATGTATATCTGCACACCAGGAGAGGGCACCAGATCTCATAGCGGATGGCTATGATCCACCATGTGGTTACTGGGAATTGAACTCAGGACCTCTGGACGAGCAGTCAGTGCTCTTAACCTCTGAGCCATCTCTCCAGCCCCCCAAACAGATCATTTCTGATATCTATTTTATTCCTTATTAAAGCCATGATTCCAGAAAGTTCCTCATGTCTGTTGGCATGCAATGTCATGTGAAAAACTGAGGCATTTATTCTCATTTTAGGGATAAGTGCTCTTGTCTGCATGTTCACCTTCATGCCAGAAGAGGGGACCAGATCTCATAGATGGCTGTGAGCCAACATGCTGGCTGGGAATTTAACCCAGAACCTCTGGAACAGCCAATCTACTTAACCACTAAGCCATGTCTCAGGCCTTACTCTCATTTTAACAATCTGGTTTTCTTTGTACCTGTTCTCCCAAAAGAAACAGGCTAATCTTGTATCCTGCCACTGAAGGTGTTTATCAGCTGTAGGAGTTTCTTGGTTGAATTTTTGGGTCACTTATGTAGACTCTCTTATCTGCAAATAGTGAAAGTTTGAATTCTTCCTTCCCAATTTATATCCCCTTGATCTCCTTTCGTTGTCTTATGGAGAGAGTGGACAGCCTTGTCCCTGATTTTAGAGAAATTGCATTGAGTTTCTCTCCATTTAGTTTGATGTTGGCTGTTGGCTGACTGTATATTGCCTTTATTATGTTTAGGACCTTTATCATGAAGGGGGCAAGATAAAAGGCAGCCCACTGAATCGAAAAAAGATCTTCACCAACCCCACATCTGACAGAGGGCTTATCTCCAAAATATACAACTCAAGAAGCTAGTCACCATAAAACCAAATAATCTGATTAAAATACGTGGTGGAGATCTAAATAGAGAATTCTCAATAGAAGAATCTCAGATAGCCAAAAGGCACTTAAGAAATTGTTCAACACCTTTAGCAATCAGGGAAATGCAAATCAAAACAATTCTGAGTTACCATCTTACATCTGTCAGGATGGCCAAAATCAAAAAACACCAACAGTGTATGTTGGAGAGAATGTGGACAAAGGGGAACACTCCTCCCCTGCTGGTGAGAATGCAAACTTGTACAGTCCACTTTGGAAATGAGTACAGCAGTTTCTCAGGAGACTGGGAATAATTCTACCTAAAGATACAGCAATTCCACTCTTAGGCATATACCCAAAGGATGAAGATTCATACCACAGGACATTTGTTCAATTATGTTCACAGCAGCATTATTTGTAATAACCAGAACCTGGAAGCAACCTAAATATTCCTCAACTGAAGAATGGATTTTTTAAAAAAATGTATATTTACACAATGGAGTACTACTCAATAGGGGGGAAAATGAAATCTTGAAATTTGCAGGCAAATGGATGGAACTAGAAGAAACCATCCTGAGGTAACCCAGACACAGAAAGAAAAACATGGTATATACTCACTCATAAGTGGATATGTGGCATAGAGCAAAGGATTACCAGCCTACAATCCACAAGCCCAGAAAAGCTAGGAAACAAGAAGTACCCTAAGACATACATGGGCCCCCTGAGAAGGGGAAAGTGATAATAAGTTCTCCTGAGCAAATTGGGAGCACTGGGGGTGGGGGGGAGAGCGATAAGAGAAAGGGGAGGGGAGAAGGGAAATGGGTAGAACATGAGGGATCGGGAAGGTCAAGTTGGGGGAAGAAGAGAGGAGAGCAAAGATGGATACCTTAATAAAGGGTGCCATTATGGGCTTAACAAGAAATCTGGCACTAGGGAAATGATCCACAAGGATGACCCCAACTAAGAATCAAAGCAATAGTGAAGAGGCTACCTTAAATGCCCTTCCCCTATAATGAGATTGATAAGTACCTTAAATGCCATCATAGAGCCTTCATCCGGTAGCTGATGGAAATCAGAAGCAGAGGTTCACAGCTAAATACTGAGCTAAACTTATGGAATCCAGTTGTAGAGTGGGAGGAGTGATGAGCATAGGGGTCAAGAGTATGCTGGGGAAACCCACAAGCAGCTGACCTGGGCAAGTGGGAGCTCATGGACCCGGGTCTGACAGCTGGGGAACCAGCACACGACTGGGGAACCAGCACAGGACTGAACCAGGACCCCCTGAATGTGGGTGTCAGTTGGGGAACTGGCAATGGAACCAGTATTTATCCCTCATGCACAAATGGGCTTTGGGAGCCCACTCCCTATGGGTAAAGATATACAGGGGAGGGCCTAGATCCTGCCCCAAATGACGTTGACATGCTTTGATGAACCCCCATGGGAAGCTTTATCCTGAGGAGTGGGGGTTGGGTGCGTGGAATGGCAGGGAGAGGGTACTAGGATTGGTATGTAAAATAAGTTTGTTTTTAAGTTTTAAAAAAGCAGGCTAATTCTCAATTTGTAGTCACTTCTGCTGCCTCAGCACTAGCTGGTACCTTCAACAGTTTTCAGTAGTCTCAAACCACCAGAGGCCACCTGACCCTCATTTGTTCCAATGAGTAGCTATGGAATCATTAAGAATTAACTCAATGACTGAATACTCACCCCAAGCTCTTCTCTGAGGCTGGGGAAGGTCAATGGTATAGTCACCTGTGATAAGCTATCAGTTCCACTTTTTCTGGGCCTTCTGTAGATGGATTAGCCCCAGACTCAACTTGCTTTTTTTCCTCTCCCAACTACTAATCCATTTTGTGCTGCCAGGGATTAAAGAAAATCAAACAATCCCATGGCCACCAACTCTACAATGCTCCAAGTCTGAGCCCAAAGCCCACTGTCACCAACACAGCATGAAGGCCAACACCAATTTACTGATACATCAGTCCTGTGGTAATCTCAACCCAAGAATGACAAAATCAAGGCAGTGATGCTGGTCATAATACAAATCCAACTGGCTGGGCTTTGGGTCATTGTATTCCTACTTGGGGCAAAAACCTGGGACACACTCTGGCCCATGCTACTTCCCCACCTTTCCCAAAACATACACAAAACCCTCAACAATCCTGGTTACTGATGTTGTCTCTTGAAACCAAAAGATAACATCTCACTGAAGCATACTTCAGTCTTGTGGTCAGTTAACATCAGGCTCAAACATGAGTTCATCCCTATTGTGCAGTGTCAAGTTGTTAGGACAAGACTGGCCTGGGTACAGGGGCTCCAGTATACTGTAAAGGATTCACAATACCTAGGTACCCTGTATCACCACAGAGCCCCATGTTCTTTTTCCTGATGTTATGGGAGGCCCTTAGCCATCTATCTTGTATAGATGGCCTCTGTAGATAGGATAGGGCCAGTGACTCGACCCTGTAGTGTTTCAGGCTTGAGGTCTAGACCTAACTCCTTTTTTCAAGCAAGTCTCTCCACACTGCAAAATCTGGGGAGACCTGCTGAGGTTTTAGAATGCTAATTATCAGCTAACGCAGGCTGATCTGACTTAACTCTTCTGAAGGGGTTTCATTGTATGACTGTTCAAATTTATATTCCTATGACAAGCAGTTTCTGAACTACTTTGTTTCGGCCATCACCTTTTGATTGCATTGGTTCTCAAATTTGCCAGCTTACCTGACTATCTTGCTTTAACACACACCAGAAGTCAACTTAGTGACCCAAATTTACAAAGGCTAGCACCAGGGACATCTGATTCTAGTCTAGATGCCAAATTCCAAGATTCAGGTGTTTTGGGCATTGGCCTCTCCCCACTGCTCATGCTCAGACTTACCAAAACTGCCAGAGACCTATTTTAAGCTAAATCACAAAGCCTTTTTCTGAGAGCCTGTTAGTGTTTTCATTATTCTCTCAGGGTTAAACAAACTCATGAGACACTGAATTTCCTCTGAAAAACCCAACATGTACTATAGAGTAATGCATTTCTCACAAAAAAAAAAATAATAATATTTAAGTCAGGCAAACCTCTTGAGTTCAAGGCCAGCCTACTCTACATGAGTTCCAATACAGACAAGGACATGGAGACTGTCTTCAAAGACAGAGCAACAAATGCTAGTTCTAGCTTAAAAATTTAATGTCTAAAGCTTAAGGGAACTTCACTGACCAATCTATAACCTATACTCCATAAATTTGTCTCGAAACAGCTAGAATCACCAATCATCAGCAGTATATATAGCATGTTTCTCCTGAAACCCTCTCAACTCCATCTATTAGAACCAGATGCCAGTATAGACATACCCTGAATTCCCATTTGTTCTAGTTTTCTGTCAACTTAATACAAGGTATCTAAGAAGAGGAAACCTCAGTGAGAAAAGACTCCCATCAGATTGGTCTTCAAGAAAGTCTGAGGCATTAAATTGCTAGAGTCCAGCCTAGCCTATTTTAGGAAGTAGCACCCCTGGGCAGGTGGTCCTCGGTTGTTTGAGAGCAGGCCGAGTGAGTCTTGGTGAGCAAACCAGAAAGCAGCATTCTTCCATAGCCTGTTTCAGGTTCCTGCCAATTTTACTCCGTGGTGGAATAATGGAGTTTTAAGCTGAAATAAACCCACTTTCCTTCTCATATATGGTCATGGTTGGTCTCTAGTACAGCAATGGAAAGCAAACCAAGACACTGGTCAATCCCCTTACAGTATTAATAGAACACATTTACTAATAGTAAAGTTAACCCTGGGATCCCAGACTTGGCACCTTTCCTTGTTTGGTAAATATCTGAACCAGACTGGGGAAACGAAGAGGGAACAGTATTTGCAAGGTAGTATTTGCTTGTATAAGCTCAAAGACAACTCAAAGGTGTAAGCAAACGTAACCACATTTATAGTCATCCACATGGGACACAAAGTTATACAGATGTTTACAAAATAAGAAATGTTGAATATTGAATTGGCATTAGTAATACATCTAATGGTAACAGTAATAATGGTAGTAGTTACTAATGAAAAGTGAAGTTAATAGATATTTAAAGAAAACAGTAAGATGATTTGTTGTCAGGTATAATGGGGCACACTTGCAAGCCTAGCATCTGAAAAGTCAAATAAAAGGATCTCAGGTTCAAAGCTACAATATGACAATGGGTGAGGTAGACACAGCACAAAATAGGAAAGCAAAAGTTTTAAAAGTATGTCATTTTTATTGAAAATGTTAGTCTACTATCCTAACAACTATTTTCATTTATATTGTCAAGTTACAAGCTGTATAACGAGCCACTCAATGCAATACTTCCCTCACTATACAGGAAACACAAAACATTTTACATATTTACAGTATTAAGGCCAAATATCCAAAGTTTTGTTAAATGCTTTCTTTCAAATATGGGAATAGTTGATACTCTCCATGTCACAGAAGAAAAAAATTAAGCAAATGATGAATATGAAAACTCTGCTTTCCAAAACATCCCAGTGACCCAAATGTAAGATACATAAACAACTACGGTTTGCTTTGGAAATCTCAAATTCTCATTAGATGACCATAACAAACATTGGTGACATGCTTCTGTTTACTAATCAATGCAAACACTATCTTCAGGATACCTGCAATGTTTCCACGAGAACACCTGCAGAAGAACTCTTGCTTACACCAAACCAAGGTAGAAAGGAAACAGTACGGTGGTATAATAAGGCCCTAAGAAAGGCAGCAGGTCGTATAGTTACCTCCTTGTGGGCAAAATCCCTGCCCTAAAACTATGCAACCTACTACCTCTTCCTAGGAGCCCATTTTATTCTTGCTGGTCTTCTACGTGGCAGATGCTTCAAGCACATGTTAAACCAGGCCTTTAAATTGTTACAAATTCAACCAATTAGAATTCTTTTCACTGATGTTCTTAAAAGTTTTTGGCCACTTGATTTTGGCAAAAGCCAAAAATTAATCCAATTACATGAGGATAAAAAACCAATCATCTAACAATTGGGCCACTGCATACTAGAGTCACTTTTATTTAAAACAATTATCAAAATTGAAACATCATGTCTCATAAAATGGCCTCTTTTTTAACCAGAATATTACCTAACAAAATATATAAAACTTGCTTGTGATCTATCAATTGAAACAAATGAACTTAAAGCTTGTCCCATATTCAGGCCATATGCTTCTCACTTTTTGGTTAGCATCTCCATTGACCCTGCTGAATAAAACAGAAGCAAATTCTGGTCATGACTTTTGCCACTGGCAAAGAGCAACATTAAGAGAGCATCACTCTCCACAGTCACTTTTAAGTGGTCTTACAAAATACACCAGTTCTCCAAATTCTATCTACTTGGAATAATAAGGATGTTAGTCCTCATGCAATTAATAACCAAAATATAAAGTGATGTCTCCAGGCCTCAGGAAAATCTGTTTCAAAACTATGAACTGGTAGACATCCATGCTGGAAGGATAAAAGGAGCAGAAAACCACAAAAAAATAACTCAGCTACTTGCAACACATTCAACAGGTTATACATATTGTCAACTTAAGAAAGATTAAGCAAAGAAGAATTTCTTAAACATTTCTGCCTTTCTTTGGCATTATTAGATTATCTGTGTAAGTCCCCCCTGCTCCTTTGTGTTTTACATGTCAAATTTAGAACAAAGACCAATTTTCCAAAGTGTCTGTCTATCTACGCCAGATAGTTTAAATCTGGTTCAGGATAAATTATTTGGATTGAGCCTGTCCCAAGGACAGTTTTGTTCCATGTAAAGATCATACTGACTATGACATTTCACTACAATTATAATTAGGTATTATAATTGTCCATGCCTTCCATATTCTGCCTTTTCAAAATAGTTTGAATAGCAAACACTTAAAACCTGGACCTTTTGGCACTGCATTAAAGGCCCAACAGATACAGTTTGATCACTAGAAAAAGTTGAAACATGAGCCCATTGATGGTGCTAACATTTAAATAAGCTTTTCTAATAATCCTCTAATGTTTTCTTTAAAGATACCAATTATGGAGTTTGCCACCTGAGTTTTGGTTCTTTTATTCTGTGGGTAAAACTGAGGTCTTAGCAGAGCCAGGACAGAAGCCAGAGCCCCTTTCTTTTTGTTGGCCAGTAAAGTCTGTCCAAACCAACATATCAATGAAGTTGTATTAACATCTACAGCATTCAAAGTATGGAAATAAGACAAGCCATCTGATTTGAATTTAGCCCAGAAGTACCCTTTCTAATGGGTATGTCCTTTTTCCCAAGACATCTCTCCCTGGACAGAAATGTAGAACTTTTCCCATTCCATTGTCTAAATTTCTTGAAACATGCACACTAAAAATGTTATATAACCATGTTTATTGCACTTTAAGGAAATTAACTGTAAAACAAAAAGTCAAAATTCACCTAAGTTTTATAATATCCTCTAGATAAAAACAATGCAGCAAGTCTACTCCTCAGGGAAGGCAATAGATTGTATAGTTATCTCCTGAACAGGGTAAAATCACTACCCCACAACTATACAATCTACTACCTCACTCTGATAGAGCAATTTTTTTCTTCTGGAATAAATATCAATCTCTTTCAAAGAAAGTTAAAATTAAATCATCAGCATCAATCAAAATTAAATCCATTTACACTGACATAGAACACATAAGTAAAAACTTGCCCCATTTCTATCATATACTTGTTAATTTTTTTAATCTAAAAAGACATGCCCACCATAAACAAATGCCTTTTAAGGTAAGTTACACTTTAAAACACTTCAGTTCTTGGTCTTCCAAGATTCCATGAATGCAGACTTTTCCATCACCTTAGGAAAGACAGTAGATTGTATAGTTATCTCCCAGTGGTGGGTGTGACCCTAAAACTATACAACCTACTACCTCATCCCACAGTGAAGAGAATATCCACGGCGAATGTTGAAAGCAATCACAGCTGAGCACCACAGGAAGCCGTTCTCCTTTGTAATCCCGGTTCCCTGCATAATGAGAAACAAATAAGAAGTTAAACTGAATACTGTTACATGTATGACCTACGTTATAGTTTCAGTATAACTTTATACAATACATTTGAGCATCTATAAAACCTTAATGCAGTATGTTACAAGATTCAGAATGTTCCCGGTCCAAAAGCTTGAAGTTTTCAGAGTAACAATATGAGGTCACCAAATGAAAAAAATTTATAAATGACCATGTGTGATATCAAAGCCAATATATAGGCATATTAAATATATATAAAATTATCTTCAAGCAGTAAATAAAGGTGTTTATGAGACACAAATAAACTATGTTTAGACTTGGGTCCCGCCCCCAAGATTTCATTATCTATGGTGCAAATAATCTAGAGCACTTCAAGTAATAATTGAAAAGTCCCAAGTATCTCGGATAAAGAATCAGTCTTATCTGTCTTAGCAACTTTTGGTCTTTTTCTTGTAACTACTACTACTACAAAAAAAAAAAAAATCCAATCTATTTACTCCTTGATAAGGCATTATGAAAAGAATCCAATCTCACAATATACAATGACTTCAAAAATCTAAAAGCCCTGTCATACATAATCCATTACTAAATGTACCAATGTACGAACAAATGGCATTTGTTTAAATGGAGCCTGCTCATTCCACTTAGCATATATTTAATGGTCTCAGAAAAACAGAAACATCTGACAGTGTTTCTGTTAGGACCCTGCCTTTAGCTAGACAGGTTTCATATGGATGGGAACCATAAAATCCTGGATATTTACAATAAAAATCCATTAGTAGTCTTCAATTACAGGCTTCGATACTTCTATTATAAAATTTTCAGTTAGCACTAATTAAACACAAGATTTTGTAGTGGACCTAGTAGTGAAGACACCCATTTTATTACAAATATAAGCAAAAACATACAATTTAATGTCATCAAAGTTTAAGTCCAGAAATAAAACTGTATACTAGGGTCAAAAGATTTTTAGTAAGAATACGAAGGAGGCTGGGGATAGGGTGGGACGGGACAGACAATTGCCACAAATTTGAGACCAAAATCAAATCCCATCTCAAAAGCCAGGCAAGACTATTCAATGGAGTAAGAATTGTTTTGCCAATGTTCAGACAGCTACTATCTAGAAGCAGAGATTAACCTGGACCCCTACCTACCACCACAAACATAAGTAACAGCATTAAGTAACTTATTGAAAGGACAGTGTAATTATTGCAAAGACATGGATAATAAACAAATACCCAATAAACACATGAAACAATCCTCAACACCATTCATTAGTCACTAGGAAAATACCTATCCAAAACACGACCCATGATCTCATATCCACTAAAGCAACTAATCAAAAGGAAATGAGGACTAGAGATGTCCAGGGAGTAAGGTTGCCTATAAGGGTGTACCTATCAACAAACCTAAAGACCCAAGTTCCAATCCTCAGGAACCACATGGTTGAAGAACTGACTTCTACAAGTCATCCTCTGTCCTACACACAGACACATACACAGACACACACACAGACACACACACACACACACACACACACACACACAACAAATACTAGCAAAGATGTACACAAACAAATCTTACAGACATCTGCTGAGAATAGTGAAATGGCAAAAAGCTGCTTTTAAGTAACTATTAAATAATTCACTAAAACTTTGAACTGTCACCAAAATAACAACAAATTTAAGTTAGTATTGGTCCCAAGTTAGATATCCTGGAATACTGCACCAAAATTCCTCCCAATTCCCCAAATGACTGTAATTTAACATCAAAAAGTGATGCATGACTAGGGGGCCTCCCTGTAGACAGTTTCAGATTAGGGACTAGTCACCAGAAAAACCAAGGTCTTACCAAGTATGAACTTTCAGCCTTAGTTCTCAACCTACAGGGAAGGAACCTGGAAACTAATCACAAAACGGCCAGTGCTGTAAATCAATCATGCCTCTAAGTAATGAATGACCTTAGAAAGAATGACATATTTCAGAAAGCTTTCGATCTAGAAACATCCTCATACAAAAATGTCCCGAGTTCTACGCACCAGTATAACAAATACTAAGTTTAAGGAACGAGTTGTGGCAAGCCTGTGAATTTACACTCACTGAGTTTAAATGCAAGTGGCACCCAACGCACTGAAGTAGCTTCTGAAGTGAGGCAGTGTTCTTAAGGCAGTTGTACTAATAACCACAACTGGTGTTCAGAGTTACAAGAACTGACTGTTGGTGCCAAAAAACAATGCCGTGTTGATCAGAAATGGTTTTTTAATGAGTGCAAAGTTTACCATTAAGACCTGACAACTTGCTTCCTAAGCATACTCTCAAGAAAAGCAAACACAAAAATTCTATATACAAATGTTCAGATCATTACTTATTTAAAGCCAAAGGGACACGTTTCAAATTTTCCTAATCATTCACTTCATACAATAAATTCAGCCTTTCTAGCCCACCTTTTCCTACTTGTAATATTAATACAATGTACAAAATGATCTATGAATAGAGGAAAATATTTCTAAGTTAAGTTGTTACTAAACGTAACAGCTTGCCCCAAATTGGAAGAAATAGCACAGGGTTGCCAACATACTCCAACAGAACTCATTTGGACAATGCCAATACATGCATTTACAACCATTGTCTCTAGAAAAGTCAAATACAGGGCTGAGATAACTTAGCAGTGAAGATTTTTTGTTGTTTTTTCAGAAGACCCAGCACCTATATTGTGTGGCTCACAACCACCTCTAACTCCCGCTCCAGGGACTTGGGGGCCAAAAGAGGGCATCCATCCTGAGCATGTGAACACACACACACACACACACACACCCCTTAAGAAAAAGAAAAAAAGACCAAACCTCTATTAAAAAGAGACAGACAGACAGACAAAATCATCCCTCAGATCCAAGACTGCTCTCTGCTGCAAGTTCAACACCAACCTCCAAACAGCTTCCTCATTTAAAGCATGCTTGGGACTGGAGATGTAGTTCAATGAAAGAATGCTTGCCTAGTATATTCATCAAGAACCTGAGGAGTTCAATCCTTCCCAACACTGCACAAAACGAAGTGCAAATTCTTGAAACATTATAAAATGCCCCCTCTAGTGTGTGCACGTGCGTTTGTGTGCTTGAGGGTGAGTGGTGCTGAAAAAGGAACCCAGGACTTCATATATGCTAAGCAAGTGTTATGACATAAGAAATACACTCAGCCCCAAAATGCACTATTTTTCACTCTTGATGAGTGCAACATGCTTACTGTATACTGTTTCTTAAGCCAATAATCAATCTAGTAATTCAAGACAAAAGCTATTAACACAATTCCCAGGATGGAGAGATGGTTTAGCAGTTAATGGCACTTTTTCTTTCTTGAAGAAAAACCAGGTTCATTTCCTAGCATCCACAGAGTTCACAACCATTCATAACTCCAGTTCCAGGGGATCCAATGCTCTGACCTCTGAGACACACGTGAAACACTCATACACATAATCTAAAGTTAATTTTTTTAATTTTTTTTGTTTTGTTTTTTGAGACAGGATTTCTCTGTATAGCTTTGGAGCCTATCCTGGCACTCGCTCTGTAGACCAGGCTGGCCTTGAACTCACAGAGATCCGCCTGCCTCTACCTTGCGAATGCTGGGATTAAAGGCATGCACCACGGAAGCCAGGCAACTTTTTAAAATTGGGTTGGAACAAGGGGCACAGAAATCTACCAAATAGAATCACTATTCATTATAATTATTTCCACCTCTCCCAACCAAACAGCAAGAAATATGTTTGTATCCTTTCTGTTACATGTGAGACAAGGACTTGCCTAGGTCCAAAACTCACCAACATTCCTCCTGCTCCAGATTCCAGTGTTGAAACCACAGGTGTGTGAGCCACCACGCAGTACTCATAATTCTAAACAGTTCTGACCCAGGTCTAGTCATTCATAATGCAGAAAATAACACCATCCACAAATCAATAAACCCTTAATTCCTGCAAATGATTATAGTCACAAATTATTTTGGTAATAACTGTTACCTGTCTGCTATTTAGAAATTGATTAGGACAAACATTGGAAACTAAAATGTAAATTTACAGCTAAGGGGAAGCAATCAATGTTCAGTTAAAGCAAAGTTAGAGAGAAAAAGACAGAAAACACATTTACTTCATTTTGAAATAAAGATAACTGGCAACTATGTAACATTTGGATGCTGTGAGTCAGAGGGGTACTTGGTATTTTTCTGCGTTTTTAGAGGATAGCTCAGAATGCTACTTTTCTATATAGTCCCTCCCCCGCCCCAAGACAGGGTTTCTCTGTGTAGCTTTGTAGACCAGGCTGGCCTCAAACTCATAGAGATCCGCCTGCGTCTGCCTCTCAAGTGGGATTAAAGGCGTGCAACATTGCTGGTCCCAACTTTCCTACAAATAGAACAAAGCATTCCTCTAGTTCTACCTCCAGTTTCACTAACTTACCCCACACAATTCAAAATTAGAACCCTAGCCACTTAGCCCTCTATCTCAAATACTCAATTGAATATGAATTGCTGGTGCTTGCTCGATAGTGTAACATTACTAAACTCTCCAATGGTATTTTTGCTTTCCTTTGATAAAGCACTTTCAGTATGTCTAGCAACAGGAAGTAATTTCTGAGCACTGGATAACATTTTCGAGATTTCTGTTTCTCTAATCAAAGAAACCCAATTACAAGATCTCCACCCAATTAAATACAATGCACTAACCCTGAGGTTCATGTTAAGTTTTAAATAGCAAAGTATTTACTAGGTCACATTGCCCAAAAGGACATTTCCTTTCTTAGACATATGGCAGACACTTAAGACACTTTTGATTAAATCAGAGCTAATTAAATTCTGAAAACTGTTTAAAAGGTAATCAATGCCAAGTCAATCCTCAGCGCTCCTTTTCAAGTTTTCCACTACACAGTGGACTATTAGGCTAAATCTTCTATCACACATAAGCCAAATTCTATGCTATCCCCATATATCTAAATACACTGGGCTCTAAACTCTATAAACATGTGCAAACAGTTAGGGTAAGGCAGTGACTCCAACCTGGGTGACTTGTTCAGCTTATTATTCTATAGATTCTCAACTTGAAGAGTCTTAGTCCTTCCTTCCCTACTTTCAAAACTCCTCTACAGCCACCATAACCTTTAACCTAAATCTAGTTATTTAATATAGATTACAGAACTTGCTAAAATTAGCCATTCTTAATAGACAATTCATTCAGTCTTAAGTTCCTTTCTAGACATTATCTAATCACACAAGCCAAAAGAGAACAAGACATGGGGCCAGGCATGGTAGCACTTGCCTTTAATTCAGGCACCTGGGAAGCAGAAGCAAGAGTTCCAGGCTAGCTAGGGATAGAGCTGTCTCAAAATCAAAGATAAAAGAGAACAAGGTAGGGAGATGCAATTAAGGTGATGCTGTTACACCCTGGGACACCCCCACACACACCCCGCCCACCCAAACACAACCACCACAGAGTCAGGTACCAATGCAAATACACAAGGGTTTATTGAAAGCAAGGAAGATTTATAAAGGAAAAACCACAAGCTGGGGGGGGAGGGGGTACATGCATGACATTTTCTGATTAGAGTAGGAAGGTGACTCTTTGGCTGATTGGCTCTGGGGTTAATAAGCAAGCAGTGAGGAATTTCTGTCATAACATCTGGTGACCATGATAAGCTGTCTGTTAGTCTCATGACTAGCTGACTCGGGAATAAGGAATTCTAAAACAATTTTTAGCCGTTTGTGGTTTTTCCTGGAACTGAGTTCAGGGTTCAGTCAGGGGCCTCTGAAGATGGTGTCTAGTCTAAAATAGTGTTAGTTTTGCTTGGTCCCACATTTCCCCATCTCTTTGGATCTTAGAGGCCAATCTTGGACTCTCACTTATGGACTTTGGATAGGAACATATCATACACCAGAACCCGTAGGTCATCATCTCATTCTGAGTCTGGGTTCAAGTGACCATCAACTGAAGGGTCCCCACCAGCTCACATACAAACCACATTAGTCGACTGATGATACAGAGACCAAATGTTAGGGGCAAAAAGTATTAAAAAAGGACCTGTCAGGGCTAATATTAGGGTGGTCATCCAGGGAGAGCCATTGAACTAGGAGTCAAACCATCCCTGGTTGGTCTCTCTCCCATCTTTGTTTGTCTGATCTTAGCCCTGTTGTCTTTGATAACCTCAATGGTATAAAAGCAACATTATTCCCCAAGCACTACAAAGTCCTCTGCCATGTTATAAAAATATGAGATTTAGCCCTGGTCAGTTTTGGGGGGTTACCTCTGTTAGAGATAAGGGAGTCTTCCAGGTTTCTGACAGAATCTACCTCACATCTAAGGTCTGCATCTAAGCTAGCCCTTAATTTACAACAATAGTGGTGCCTGTGCCTATGCCAGCTGCTATTCCATACTCAAGTATAAGGCTAAGGGTCAAGGTAGTTACAGGCTCATGCCTTACCCGTCTGGGAGCTCGAAGGGTTTGGGTAAATCAGTGGAGAAACTCGTTTTCGGTATAATAGATCAGTCGGGGAAGGAGCTGGACTAGGACACAGAACCCTTGAGCTCTTCTGAGCATGGGCACAGGCTATTAGGCCAGTCAAACAGGCCCATGGGAGGAACTAGATAATTTAGCCCTCAAACGGGGAAGGTGGAGTTGCAGAGGTGGTTGTGGCTTGGGGTACCCATCCAATGCAGGCGCCTTATCCAGTGACCTGCTGGAAGGTCAGGAATGCCTTGGACTGCCTGTGGCAATCCCTGGAGTTAGAGGTATTTGAGTAAGCTCCTGGCAATGCAATCCCCTCATAATAAGGGGGTGTGTAGTGTCGCAACACAGCCAGCAAGCGGTGGTTACATCTGGCCTAGAAGCATTCAAGAACAGGTAAGATGCTGTTAAGAGCTGTGAAAGAGAGCCCTTGGTGGTAAGGGGATACATAGGTCAGAGTCACAGAACTGGGCGGAGAATGTAGGAAGAATGGGCCTGGGGGATACAGAGTTAATCAGCTGGTTGGGGCCTATCGTGGCTGAGGCTTGACTGCAGTCTGAGGATAATGAAGGTTAGTTTTGGATCGTGGCCTCGACAGTAAAGTCACAAACCCCAAGTTTTAGCAGTAGTCCAATCAGCTTTTCTGCCAGTCTCATAAAAGCAGTTAACCAGTAGGTTGCAGCGCCCTCCAGCCATCACCCAGGGGTGATTTAGGAACCATATCACCACTGTTTTTATGTCCCCTGCCTGTTAGACAATTATCATATCCCGTCATGGAGGGAGGAAGGGGTGACCAGTTGATCCACCCAGTGTATTCACGTGCAACTGGCACATTAAGAATCCCCCGGCCCTCCACATTTCTTATGTTGGGCTTTGGAACAGGAGTGTCCTGAGCAGACATAGAACCCCAGGGATCTGGTGGCCCCACGTCCCCTAGGAGTTACATCCATACCTAGGGAAGGGCTCCTGATCTGAGGGGTTCCAATTGTCTCCTACCAGGTCACAAAGGTCCACTTAGAGGTCGGGGAACCAGTTGCTTAAATGAGACTGGTAAGAGTACTATTGGCTATGGTCCCCATGTCTGCATTGACAACTATCCAACTTTGGTTCCATTGGGTACAGGAGTCTCTTGTAGGGTGGACATGGGCGGATGTCTGCACCAATAGGATGATTATAAAGGTTGTTGTTCAAGGTGTCATTGAATTCAAACCTTGAGCAGATCGGTGGTGTGCTGTTGCCTCCCTTCCTTGTCCACGGTAGTATTCCTTCAGGGCAAAGAGGTTCGCCAGTCTGGTGTGGGAGTAGTAGATCCAGGTTGCCACTCTGTCAACTTTCAAAGCCATGGGAATATGGGAATAGTGAGCAGAACAACGAAGGGTCCCTTACATCTGAGCTCTAGGTTTTCTTGGGTCTCTTGACATAGACCCAGTCCCTGGGTCAAAACCTGTGAAGTTAAGGGGGGGAGGGGGAACCTACCAGATTCATAAAGGGCCCTAAGTTTAGGTCAAAATTTGTATGTGCCCAGTGTAGCTTTTTTATGTCCTTTAGCATTTCCTGTTCTTCTATATTGGCCAGGAGCTCCATCTGTAGAGCAGAAACAATGGGGGGGGGCACTCTGCCAAATATGATTTCATAGGGAGTTAGCCCCATCTGGTAAGGATTCCTTACCCTGAAAAGGGCAAAGGGGAGGAGGGCTACCCAGTCCACGCCAGTCTCTAAGGCTATTTTGTTAAGGTCTCTTAAGATTCTGTTCATTTGTTCTACCTGTCCTGAACTCTGGGATCTAACAAGCACAATGCAAATTTCCAATCACACCCCAGGATGGTAGCTAAATCCTGACTTACCTGACCCTATCATAGCAGTAAAAGTATACCTGGGTAGGATGTCTTCAAGCAATTTCTTTGCTACCACCTACGCTATTTCATGCTTGGCAGGGAAAGCCTCTGTCCATCTTGAAAAGGTCTATGAAAACCAGTAAATATTTATATTCATATCTGCCAGGTTTTCCCTCAGTGAAGTCAACTTCCCAGTAGAAACTTGAGTTTCTTCCTCCCTAAGTCAGGATCCTGGATTTCTAAGATTTGGCCACAGCATTGGTTAGTTGGCAGGCCTTACATTTGGAGAACGAGGTCCATGATTTGATTTCCATCTTTGATTTTGACTTTTGAGTGTATCAATAGGTCCTGCATTCTGCAGACCCCCATGTGGGAGGAACAGTGAATTAGGCTCTGAACCAACTTGTCAGGCAAGATGATTTTACTGCCGGCCAATGGCCACCATCCCTCTAGACACTGTGTCATCAGAAGTCTTTATGCAATCTAGATCTTTCCTGGAAATTAGGGAGCCTTGGGCAACGTAGAGGGCTCTAGGTCCACAAGAACTAAAGCCAATATAGGCCCAGCCTGCAGAGCCACCTCCTAAGCTGCCTTGTCTGCCAAATTGTTGCCTCTTGGCACTGGCCCGTCTCCCTTCCTATGTCCCAAGCAATGAATAATAACCAGTTTCTTTGGGTGCTAGAACCTCATGTTTGTTTTTAATAGTCTCTCCTTAAGCAGTTGAGCCCTCTTTCTTTGCATACTGCTCCGTGTACATGCACATTGCAAAGGGATAGTAGCTATCAGTGTAAATGTTAATCCTTTTCTCTTGGCCTAGTTCTAAGGCCCTTGTCAGAGCCATAAGCTCTGCCTTCTGTGATGAAGTGCTGGGAGGCATTGGCTCAGCCCTGTCCACTTTTTCCAATGTAGTCACTGTAGCCCCTTTGTCCATCATGTATAAAACTGCTCCCATCCATATTAGGTAACCTCTGCATCTGGCAGAGGAGTGCCCTGTAGATAGGGTCTGGCCCTGTGCACCCGTGCAAGGATCTTGGAGCAGTCACGTAGGGGCACTTCCAGGTCTCGATCAGGTAGCAGCATAGCTGTGTTCAGAGTGGTGAGCACCTGAAACATTATTCTGGTGGGACTTAGCAATTCTGGTAGTGGGTTAGGCAGGCATTACTGAGCCATTGGTCAGGAGGTAGTTTGAGTACCCCTTCAAGAGCATGAGAGGTAACAATGGTTAGGTTCTGCCCCAAAGTCAATTTGCCTGCATCTTTTACCAGCAAAGCCACATTGGCTATTATGCAAAGGCATGGAAGCCATCCTGTCTTAACTGGGTCTAGTTTGCTCGGCAAGTAAGCCAGATGGCTCCCAGAGTCACAGAGTCTGGGTTAGAATCCCTTTGGTGATTCTTCCATGCTCATCAACAGATAAAATGGCTTAGTGACATCAGGCAGACCCAGGGCTGGGGCTGACAGTAAGCTTTGCCTTAAGGTCTCAAAGGCCACCTACTGGCTATCTCTCCGTAGGAATTTTTCTTTGTCTTTTGTAGCCTCATACAAAGACTTAGCTATTTACGCAATCCCAAAGATCCAGAGCTGGCAGAAGCCAGCAGTGCTGAGAAATTCTCTCACCTGTCTTGCAGTGGTTGGGACTGGAAATCTTAAGCACCTTCTCTCTCTAGGCATCTTACAACCATCACTGCCCCTTTTAGGACATAACCCAAATATGTGACCTGCCACTTGCAGATCTGGGCCTTTTTAACCAATGCTCGATAACCTAGTTTTCCCAATGTTTGGTGCAGTCCCTTGGCCCCTCTTAGGCAAGTCTCCTGGTCAGTTGCTGCTTTAAGCAAATAATCTACATACTGGAATGAGGTAACATCTGAGTGTTGAGTATGGTACTCACCCAAGTCCTTATGTAAAGCATCAAAGATGGGGGGGGGGTTGAATCCTTGCAGTAGCCGGGTCCAGGTTAGTTGGCCACTGACCCCAATCTCTGGGTTGTGCCATTCAAAGGTGAAGTAAGGTTGGCTCAGGGTTGAAAAATGTGAGGTTGAAAAAAGCATCCTTTAAGTTCAGGACAGCATACCAAGTGTGCTCTGGTGGCAGGGTATATGGGTTTGGGACTGTGGGATGAATGTCCATTATCTATTTGTCAACTTCTCTCAAGTCCTGGACCAGTTGATTATCAATGGCATGAGGCTTTTTGACAGGTGGATTGGGGGTGTGTGTGTGTGTGTGTTTCAGGTCGACTGAATAGGCCTCAGTACCCCAAGGTTCAACAGACACCTTATGTGGGATGTAATACCTGCCTTAGCTTCCCGGGGCATGGGGTACAGGTGGACATTAATAGGTCCTGTTCCATGTTTTAGGTTCACTAATATTTTTTAAGTCCTATACCTCCAGTTTCAGTCCTGGCTTGAAGGAACTGAGAACCATATCTATACGTCAGCCTCTGGCTCGACCTCGGGTTGGGGTAGCCTGTATTCATCTGTGAGGTAATGAGTCATGAGCACCTGGACCAGTTCTCCAGTTTCTCGAAGAACTTTGGCCCCTTTATGGGAGAAATGGATTAGAGCCTTCATTTTGGAAAGCAGGTCCCACTCCAGGAGAGGATAGGGGCATTATGGTATTACTAGGAATGAATGGGTTACCTGGTCCATTCCCAAATCCACCGTCCTCTGGGTAGTCCATGAGTAGGGTTTTATTTCCATGGTCCCATGGACCTAGGTCTGATTGTTGGACACGGGCCCAGATGGTTCTAAAAGCACTGAATTCTGGGCCCTAGTACCAACCATGAAGTTAATCTTTTCCCCCCTCCACTCTTAAGAGTTACTACTCTAGGTTCGAGCAGGGGGTCCAAGCCCTGTCTCCCCTGTCTGTCCCTTGCCTAAGTCCTTAGTGTTGTCCTTAGTCTTTATTTGTGCATTCTCTAGCCTAATGTCTCTCTTTCTTACAATAGGCACACTGATTCTTTCCTAACCAGGTTTTTTCTTTGTTTCCTCTAGGTTCTTGGTCCTTGTTTCCCACAATCAGGTACCTCAATTGTCTTTTGCGTTCTTCAGGTTAAGCCACAGCAGCCAGTAACACACTTGGAAGATGGTGGGTTTTATGTTGTTCTTCATCTGCTTTTCCTCTGCACTTCCATTGTATACTTTTTCAGCCAACACAACTAACTCTCTGATATCTTCTACTCCTATCCTTTGTAGCTTTTTCTTAATATTTGGGGCTGCTGGTTAATAGACGCTGGAAATAAGGCAGCTGTGCCTTTCAGCGAGTCTGGTTCATATGGAGTCTACCTCCAGAAGACATCCTGCAGCCACTCTAAGAATTCGACTGAACTTTCTTCTGCCTCTTGTCTAACATCATAGACCTTACTCAGATTTTCAGGCTGCTGTGCAGCAGCTTTGAGACCTGCTAAGAGTCTGGCGATAGACCAGGAAGCTCCCCCTACCTTCAGCCATATTGTGGTCCCATCCGGGGTGGGTCACAGAGAAGGCAGCATCACTGAGAGCCTAGTTGGTGGTAGGCTCTCTAGTGGGACCCAGAACCAATTTCCAGGGTTCCACCTGGATCCGGTCCTTCTCTTCTGTAGTGAACAGGATCTGAAAAAGCTGCTGACAGTCATCCCAGGTAGGCTGGTATATAAAAAGGACAGTCTTGAAGAGACTGAACAAACCACAAGGGTTTTTAGAAAAAGAGGGGGTTTAGAATTTCCAGTTTTAGAGGTCATTAGTAGCAAAGGTCCAAAAGTGAAAGAGTTGGTTCCCAAATGCATCAGGAGTACCTGCAACTCTTAAAGGGAGGGCGAAAGTGTCAGGAGGTCCCACCCTCTGACTCCTAGTGCTTCTGGCTCTCCCCACTCTGGTTCCTGACCAGCTTCCATAGGGGCTGCTGCCTGTTCCCCAGAGTCTCCACAGGTGCAGGCTCTGGGATAGGAGTGGGGTCGGAAGATGTATTCTCTTCAGTGTTTCTGCCCTGGTAAACTTTTCCCCAGGAAGACAACCAATAATAATGCAAAAACAGTAGCAGCTTGGGATGCCTCAAAGGGAGCAATTCTCCAGGTTCAATTACCCCAAAAAACGTTCATACTCTAGGTTCTCCATCCTTGATCAAACAAGTCTCAAGGGTATCCTCTTCCCCTTTCCCAGTGACGCAGTCCTTTTAGCTCATCCACCTGTCTTAGACACCGACTGTTACTGGACCATGTTGCAGATTTGGCACACTTTTGAAAACAAAAGTACAAACACAAGGACAGAGACGGGGACAAAGACAAAAATATTTACCAGCCAGTCAAGAACCCCTCAGGCCCAGGTTGGGGGGAGGGAATCCCAGACGAGCCCCCAAAATGTTATGACCAGGATGGGGGGGAACCCTGAACATGGCCACCACATAACCAGGTACCAATGCAAATGCACAGGGGTTTATTGAAAGCAAACTTAAATTCAGGCCATCCAAAGGCAGGTGAGAGGAGAAGGGGGGGCGCACGCAAATCAGCAGGGGAGAGTTTATAAAGGGAAAACTAAAAGTTGAGGGGGGAGGGGTACATGCCTTGGCATTTTCTGTTAGAAAATCTGGTGACCATGATAACCCGTCTGTTAGTCTTAGCTGACTCAGGGGGATGAGTTCTGAAGCAATTTTTAGCCTTTTGTGGCTTTTCCTGGAACCAGGTTCAGGGTCCAGTCAGGGGCCCCTCAAGATGGTGTCTAATCTAAAATAGTGTTAGTTTTGCCTGCTCTCACAATGTCAGTCATTCCTTCCCAGGACTTCAATGTAGTATCACCTTAATGGAAATATACAGATGAAATAGAAAAAACTAACTAACTAAAATACAGTGCTCCCAAGCCACATCCAAACTTACCAATTTAAAGCAACTTATCTAAAATATCTCAAAACATTCTAGTAAAAAGAACAAGGGATACCTTTCAGTTGCCTTAGAGAACTTAATTCTATCTTATATCTGGAAAAAGCCTTATCCGAGATAAAGCTGTAGATAGACAGAAAACACCTGTATAGCTGTATCCAGCTAGCAAAATCTGATTTTTTAAAAGCAGCTAAACAATTCCCACAATTGTATTATTAATTAAGAAATATACTTATCTTTGCCGAACACCTGAAACCTGAGGTCAAAATGGTACACACTGTAACTATACTCCTGCTGTAAATGTAAAATACTCTAGATTTTACTAAGTACCAAAAAGACAGACTTTATCTACTTAATGAAGTTCATTCCTAAGTGATTACATAATGCACAGAATGCCCATACAAGCAAAGATCATGTTGAGGATCTGGAGGCCCCTCATTACTCTGGTCCTGAGGTAACATGAGGCCAAAAACAAACAAAAAATTGACAATTAGTATTCTGAGAAAGATGCTTTATAGTGTAAATAAAAGTTTCTAAAGCCCAGGCAGTGGTGGCTCATGCCTTTAATCCCAGCACTCAGGAGGGAGGCAGGCAGAGATTGAGTTCAAGGCCAGCCTGGTCTACAAGCTACACAGATAAGCCCCGTCTCCAAAAACCAGAAAACAAAAAAAAAGTTTCTAAAGGTATTGAAAGTTATTGATTGAAACCCATGCTAACATTGAGTAGTAGCTATACTTTCCAACTCATGAAGACTTAAGTGAGAGGTACAAATGTTGATGAATATGACTAGAGGCCTATCACTAATATTCCTTGGAGGCCCAATGTTATAGGGAGGAAATTCGTCCATTAGGACATTAACTTTTTTTTTTTGCTACTCATAAAATGGTACTTTCCAAGTATACAAATGTTCACAACTGAATTAGCACATTATTTCATGCTTTATACTTTTCTACAAAAATATTTGATCACCACACACAAATGTGATACAGGATTTGGAAAACTGGTGTGGTTTTCCACTATCTCCCTCTTTTGAAACCAGGTCTTACACAGCCCAGGTTGACCTGGAACCCTCTATGTAGCTGAGGATAACAACAATGCTGGGATTACAGGCAGATGCCACCATGCCTAACTACAGAGTGCTGAGGATGGAAGCCAAGGCTTCGGGCATACCTGGCAAGCACTTTACCAACTAAGCTGCAACTCCTGCTCTGGCTTTGTGATACCTCACAACTTTTTTTTTTTTTTTAGCTGGGTGGCATTAGCAGATTCCTTCAATCCCCCAGCCTGATCTATAGAACTACTTCCAAGAGAGCCGAGGCTATGCAAAGAAATACAGGGGAGGAGGTTGTTATGGTTACTTTTTATTGTGTTTTCACAAATTGAGATAAAAAGATAACTTTCTTGAGTCAGTCCTCTCCTTCCACTATTGGTTGAGTGCCTGGGATCCAAACTCAGGTCACTGTTGGGCTTATCACTGAGCTGTCCCTAGATGTGTATAAACACCAATTAAGTTTCTTTGATGGCAACGAAGGGTTATTGGGGACACTCCCAGGACCTTTAAAGAATTAAGGTCTGAGATCCACTTAATTCACAATGACCAACTATACAGCCTCGTCTGCTGGGATTTGAGGAGTGCACACCACCCTACATATTCTTTATAACTGCATGTTTGCTATCCTCTACTTTTCCAACTTGCAAAATCACTGAGTCTCAAATTCAGCACAACTTCAATTTATATACTGAGAAAGGAGACAGCCTGTTTCAAGACTAAAAAAAGCTATTGAATTCTACAATAAAATTACCCGTAAAGGTAAAATGCACACCCCATTTACTGAGCTTTAAAAATATTCTTCAGTCTTGACTTCATTTGGAAGATTCCCATCCTCTAACAAAAAGTTACACTCACAATACCCAAATTTTCCAAATTATTACTGCTTTGCCTGACACCAGAATACAAAGAAAAGGAAGCCAGAATACATATATTATCTTGTTTTCTTATAAAACTGCTTTAACTTCACTTTCAATTTTCGTCACAAGATTGTCAGGCAATCAAAACATGAGAACGCTAACTGCTCTTTAAGAACTGGGTGCCCAGGCGGCAACACTTTCACTGGAGTTAATGAAACCTGTCATTATCGTGCATTTTAACTCAGTTTCTCAGGTGCCTTCTTTCCCCTGACCCTTCCGTAACGGTGCTTTCCGCACACCATGTTCACAACACACACGAGCACCTCGGCTAACGAGCCGGATCCCGGGAGGGCACTGCCGGCCAAGGACAGAAAGGTTACCCCGTTGCCTCCCCGAAGGCGCGCCGGCAAGTTTACGAGCCGGCCTTCCGAGAGGTCCCGGGTCCCCGGAGTTTGCAGCCTCCCGGCCAAAAGGCCGGACTCGTTTCCGGTGCCGCTCCCCCGGGATCCGATTTCCTCCCGCTCT